GAAATTCAGAACTCACATGTTTGAAAGGCCACCCTTTGATCTTGGTTACAGTGATATAATTCATGATAACTCACTAAAGACAGCAGCGGTTTGGGATTTTTGTGTTATGGGTTATTATTTGTAATTAGAGCTGGTTTTAAAAACTGGGATTTTTTGGTGATAATTTTTGTGACCAAATCCTCCCATTTTTTTTCTCAATGAACTTCAAACTTCTCCATTGAAATTTGGAGCAGCTGATTGAAAAACAGGATGCATGTTTCATGCAAAATTTCTCAAAACACTCATCCTGGTTTTCCTTCATTGAAATTCAACATTTCAATGAATACGTTTGTCAAAAAAACTCCAAAATTTTGGAAAAAAATTAACCGGCTATTTTTGTATTCTGGCAGTTTCCACAGGCCCCAACTGAAATCAGGGTCCTTTGTGCTGTACCAATACATAGGAAGAGATCACCTCTTTCCCAACTTGCTTACAATCAAAACAGACCAAAGAGACAAAGAGGGGGAGGAAAGAAAGATTGTCTCCCCTAGTTACAGGTGGGGGAAACTGATTCTAGAACAAGGCATGTTAGAACAATGCACAGAGGGATTTAATGGAGGGTTGGCTGGAAAACAAGAATTCTGTTTTGCAAAATAATATCAAGGTTTCAAACTTGTTTTCATTCTGCAGCAGAATGAAACAGAGACCTTTAGACATTTTTTTCCAGACTAGCCAGAGGTAGGGCACTTGCATGGGATGTGGGAGACCCAGATTGAAATCCCAGCTCTGAAGCAGGCAGAGAAGGCACTTGAATATGGTTTTCCCATGCCAGTACCCTAAACACTTAGCTAATGACTATTTGGGGTTGGGTCTCTTTCTTCCTCTCCACCGCAGCGAGATTCTGTGCTGGACCTGAGAAACATTTCAGTTTCACCAAAAAAATTCTGACCGGTTCTAATTAAATGATTTACGCATTAAATCTGTGGAAGAACTAGAGCTGGAACCCACATTTCTTGAGTGACAAGTCAACGCTTTAACCACAAGTTCATCCTCCCTCCCTGATGTGTAAGGTGGTCTAAGAGGCTGAAGAATGTTACATTTTCCATGTTGGGCTTTAACTGCTCCACATTCAGACATATTAACCACTGCAGAATATGACTATGCCAGTGGAGACTTGCCAGCTATCTCCGACGGCAAGCACATATTTTGTGGCTACATAAATTGCACCCAGATTTGAAAATTTAGCTTGAAACTTTCCCAAAGAATCCATTTCCCAAATCCTGCAGTGCCCAGTGTCTCGCCAAGAATATAGGTCTTGAGCTGCCACTGATTGAATGTGCAATATATGCGATTACATGGATGCCAAATGTATAGGAAGCATCTCCAGCCCCTGATTGGGAATGAACTGGGAAGATATGACTTGCACTGAAAAGCTGGTTCACCTTGCAATGGTGTTTGCAGGCTGAGGTTGTATTATATCTGATGGGAGAACAGATCAGGAAGACAGACATGCAGACACCCTTCCCATAGATCCCTGATCTTCAGAGACCCCTGTTCCCATCCAACCTGCAACTCATTTCCTTAAACCTCAGCAGTCGGGCCTGTCTCTAGTTAGAAAAGAAAAGTCTGCTAAGAAAAGAAAAGACAAGAAAAGACAAGACAAGAAAAGAAAAGCTGGACATGGTCACTTACCCCCATCCAGCTCCCTCCACTGTCAGGAATCATATAGCTTAATAACTCCCTAGAAAATACAAGCCATTCTCCCGTCAAGCAGCAAATGCTATTGCGTCAAGCACAGGTGAAGCACAGAATAAAGGCTACTCTCTTTAACAAGGCAGCTGGAGCCTGGTAATAGGGCGCACTTGAAAAACAAGAGAGAAAAAGACAGCGACAGAGGGGTGGGAGGAAGGTTTTATTATTCAGTCCACAGTTCGAGTTCATCTGTATTGAGGCTGGCGTTCACTGCTCAGATGGTGTGTCAGTTTTGGCAGGCGGCTTATGGGCGGAGGAACGGGGCGACTGGAATGGCCCAAGCCATGACAATGAGCTGTGATGGAGACTGGGGGACAGGGCAAATCTCAGCTGTGAGTAGGAGGTATGTGGATCTTCCATCTAGTAGAGGATTGGGCCTCCAATCTCCTGGGTGCATGTGAGCTCTCAGGCTAACAGGTTATCATCAGGGCAAGGCTTGGAGCCGTTTCAGCCTCGATCTCGGTGCTTCTTGCGTTGGTTTAGTTAGGGACGCCCAAAACAATCCTTTCTGTTTCTTCAGATTGGGATGCAGTTGGCCAATTTTCGAGAAGCCCGAGGAGCTTCTGCTTCTGGGAAACTAGTGAAGCAAATCCCGTGTATAAAATAGTTTCTCTTGTTTCTCCTATTGTGTGAATAACCACACTTTTCACTTCTGGTTGCCTTTTCTGCACGTATCAAAACACTTTATAGTCACTAATGAATCAAGCTGGCGTAATAAGGCTGTAGGATTGTCCCTATTTTACAGATAAGGAAATTGGAGCATATCGAGGGATCCCAAAGCAAGGAGGAGCCAGAAATAAAACCCAGAATGTTTGATGCCCAGATAAATGCAATATAAATGCACAAAACATGTTATCTGAGTATATCTGTGCATACTGTACCCACACAGCACATACGCTTGCAGCAGATATAAGACATATGTGAATGTTGTGCATATATTAAGCTTATATGTAGCCCAGTAGCAGTATATTTTTATTTGTTCAGTGGGCCTCCAAAATTTTGCTAAGCGCCACATAGAAAAATACAGTGGTAAAGAGGGACACCATGCCTAAGATTTGGGTACCCCATGGAGAGGTATAAAGGGGTTCTCACCCCTCCTTATGCCCCTGTGTGTCATGTAGTCCAAGTCACCATCTAAGCCATCTCAGAACCTATCAGTGAACTAATTATAAGACAAAACAGTCAAACCTTCTGTCCAGCATAGTGCACAAATCTTCATCCCACATGAAGACATGTTTTTATGCCAGTTGCATTCTCCATACTGCCACTGTTTTGTTATGAGCTGTGTGAATCTTGTTATGGATTGAGATAAAACCTCATTGAGATTGATAGGTGTACACTGCATCAAAGAAATACCTGACTATTACCAATTCCTCCTCCTAACTGGGACAACCTACTAGACCCCAAATTTTTTGGCCAGTCAAAAGGAGGAACAGTATATGATAAATTATATTTTAGGCTACAGTGGTAAGATAATGCTAACCTGCTTGCATTTGCCGGATCCATTCTATTGCTTCCATTTCTCTGGGAGGATGAGATTCCCCAGAACACACCTGCTATTCTATTTCTACTCTGCACTTGGGGCCCCCATTCTGTATTCATAAACATTGGTGCAAAACTGGTGGGACGACCCTCCCTTCCCCTCTCCCCCCCGCCATCAATATCAATGGAATTATACCAGGGTCAAACCAGCATGGGATCAAACTCAAACCTCAGCAGATCGTGGACAAAGATTAGCGATGACACATAGCTATTATTTTTTATATCCATTCTCCATCTTCTCTAAAGGCAAGGCAGGTGAAATGATATTTAGTATTAGACCAACTTCTGTTGGCGGAAGGGACAAGATTTTGAGCTTCACCGAGCTCTTCCTCAGGACTGGTGAAAAACTCTCTGAATCTTGAAACCTTGTCCTTTCCACCAACAGAAGTTGGTCCAATACAAGATATTATTTCACCTACCTTGTCTCTCTCATATCCTGGGACCAACATGGCTACAACAACGCTGCAAACATATATCTACTGTACACTTACAGGGCAAACCCCACATATACTGCAGTACCAGATCTTTAACTACGTTGCTTCTCCCCAGAGATTTAAAGTGGTAGGCTGCAGGGCTTCCTGTTTCAAATGCAGTTCATTGTAAGGCTCTTCTTAGAAACCAAGGTTTTAAATTGAAATGAGCAAAAGGAAACATTTTGATTGACACAATTTGATTGGTTTTTCCCTCCCAGATTTTCAGTTTGTAAACATTTTGCGAGATTTCAATGTTTTGTCCCAATTTGGGACAGGACATTTTTTCAAAATATCTCTAAAATTCTCCTGGGATGGGAAAACCACTTCCCACCCAGCTCTGACTGGACTGGCTGGAGTGTGGGCAGGGTGGAGGGGCACTTATAGTTGCTAGCCCACACAGCTCTATAACCATCCCGGCCAGCACTTCATTCCTGTGACTTCTTGATCATTATCATCATGGGGCACGGCGAATGCCCAGGCTCTCTTTTTCATTGGTGGGATTTCAATGTTGTGATATTCCGCAAGACAGGGGATTTATGGCTTTTGTTCCATTGTACCTGGTGGAAAGTCACCTACGACCAGAACCTCAGTATTAAATCTTATCTGAAGGACGGCACCTCCAGTCGCAGCATGGCCCCTTGAGACATTGAGTGTAGACAGAGGGGAGAGCGCTACCTACTGTATTGCCAACACCTGGGCCGGCTTTACTATTTTTGCCACCCCAAGCAAAAAAAAACCAACAACAAAAAAAGCCACTCGGACAACCGCCCGAACTGCCGAAGCAAAAAAAAAAAAAAGCCGTCAGGACTGCGCTGCCCCAAGAATGGACGTGCCACCCCAGGCATGTGCCTCCTCCATTGGTGCCTGGAGCCGGTCCTGGCCAACACTATCTCCAGCAGCACAGCTGGGTTCAGTACTGGCCTACTATTGCATGACCAACTGTTCAATGCCTCTGAGCCCCTTGGGAGGCCACTGGAGTGTGCCGTCTACATCAGTGCTTGGAGGACTCAAATCCCAGCCCTGACAATAGCTATGGCGATGCAAGTTTCAAAATTGCAACATCCATATCCTGACCCCATTCAAGGCCATGACAAAACTCCCCTTGATTCCAGCGGGACCAGGATCTGCCCCTAAGTGAAGGGATGGGTTTGTATGTACACAGGTATATGGGTAACGTATAGCAGATCACTTTTGTGAGCAAGGTTTCCCTGATATAGGAACATATCAGATGGGCAGATGCACGCCCTTCCTTACCTGGATCCATTCATATGATCATATTCCCTCTTGACATTGACCCGGACCGTCTGATTGATCCACTCCTGCTGGGGAGGTAAAGGGTTGATTTTGTGAGGCTGGCCGTAGTCGGGGTTCCCTGAGGCCGTCATGTCCGCCTTGGGGAGGTGAGCGGCAGCGCTGTACGTGGAGTCGAAGAGGGACTGGTCGTCACTCACCACCGAAAGGGCCTCCTGAAGAGAAGAAACAAGAGCCTGGCGTCATGACTAAACCAGCGACTCCGCTCACATTCTCCCTTTGAGTTGGCCTGCAGCTGCGAGAGCCCCACAGCTGCCAAGCCCTGCCTGAAAATGACATCTGCCAGCATCGCAGATTGAATCCAATTCTTTGGGGTCCATTAACCCTTATGCAAAACCGGTGGGTTCTTTTTCTGGTTACTCTGTGTCTGAGGAGGCAGGAGCTGAGGTTAACTGGGTACAGTTAACTGAGGGAGCTGGGTACAGTACTCTCTTCACTGCCTGCCTCATCCAAAGCGCATCTGACAAGGTCTGCATGCTCTTCATGTAGCTAAGTTGGCTGCTAGCTTGGCTGACAGTTGAAATGGGGACATTCAGAGCTAAAAGCATAAGCTGCTATAGCACAAGCTAATGAGCCACTACTTTTCCAGCTGCAGATCTCAAAGCACTTAGCAAAGATGGATAAGCCTTTTTGGCCCTTAAGCATGTGCTTTACTTTAAGCATGTGCTTAAAGTCCCCTTGAAATCAAGAAGTATTTGCCCTAATAATTTTGCAAGTGGCTTCTACTGTTGTTGTCCTTATTACTGTTTATAATTGGTGTTTCTGTAGCACATAAGAGCCCCAGCCTGGACAAGGAATCCATTACGCCAGACACTGTACAAACACAGAACAAAAAGACAGTCCCTGCCCCAAGTGGCTTACTATCGAAGTATAAGACAAGAGACAACAAAGAGTTATATATATGAATGGGGGAATACAAGAAAACAATGAGGTAATACCACCAGCATGATCAGCTGGGGTGCTGAGAGTCATCGACCCAAACTGTAAACCCAGTATATGATGGAAACCACTTCAAACCAGGATTGTATCTTCATACAGTCCTCCTTCGCCCATTGATCGTACTAATTTCAGAACCCTTGGGGGATTGAAGACACCCCTAGAAAATACTCTCATCAGGACTGGTCAGATTTTTCCGAGAAATCTCCCCAGCAAGATTTGGGAATTCAGCCCTGGCCAACCTCAAACCCTGATTAGTGTGAGGGATTCAGGCAGATGCATCTGTGGACGTTGCTAGTCCATTACGAACACTGGAAATCCCCATTCCCATCCCCTCGAGACCTTGCAAAGGCTTAATAAAACCAGTGACACTGCCAATGGCTTCTTCTTAAAGCAAAGAGTAGGCCTTTTCATCGGCAGCGAGGATGTGGTTACAGGTCTAGTATCTGCTTTGCTGAAGCCAGGGTGTGTCAGACAGGGATTCTGAAATGACAAAGGCAGGAAGTAGCCTTCATTGGCCTCCTAGGCGCATCTCAACACAAAACTCTGGGGGTTTCCCTTTATGGCAGGAGGCCGTAGGTGAACCTTAAACAGATCAGTCAAAGGGGATCTCTGTTGGTGGGATTCTGCGCCCTGTACCAAGTACACTTGGCAATGGAGCTGGTTGGAAAATTAATTATTTCCCCCTTGTGGACACAATCAGGGAATTTTTTTGGTCAATTTTCAGCAGAAATTTTTGATTTTTCATAAAAAAAAACTGACTCTGGTTTTTGGCCAACACCCCCCCCCCCCAATGTTCAGTTTGGAAGGAGGGGTTCAGTTTTCTGGCAAAAAAAAATCATAAATTTGAGGAAAGCAGACACGTCCCATGAAAATTTCCTTTTGGTTGGAAACTCAATTTTCTGTTGAAAAAAACATTGTGATGCAAAATTTGTGCCCAGCCCTATTTATCCGGCCAAGGAAAGGTCCCGTTGAGCTCAGCTCGGGCATGGACTGATGCGTTGATTTGGGTAGGACTAAGTAATGGGGCAAGTACACATTTCCCGCCATCGTAGATAATACTAGCTGGGGAGATTTGTTTCCTAAGTGCAGCACATTCTGTGAATGAAGAAACGACTCTCCTGTACAGGGAGCTGTGCCCTGGACTGATCAGAGTTCATTACCACAGATATCCATAACGATGCTCTTGCACTCATACAGTAGCTTCCTCCAGATGTTAGACACTTTACTGATTAAATGCACGTAGCCTAAGGACCCTACTTTCCCCTCAGTTACTTGCACGGCACAGAGGAGAACAAAGGTATATGTGACAGCTGCCATTTTGGCTGCCAGACTGGGCACTGAACCAGGGACCTCCAGAGCTAAAATTACAAGCTGCTAATATGCAAGCTTCCACAGATACAGCTCCAGCCTCTGCTCAGACACAGCTGGGGACCTGTAATACATGCAAACACCAAACAAATATGGCTAGATGTGTAGGAGGAGAGCTAAGAGGCATGTCTCCCCCCATCCCCCGGCCAGGCCTTGCTGTGGCATTTCCATGCATCTAAGACTCAGCATAAATACAGAGGGGTGGCCAATGCCAGGGGATCTTTAACTTCCATGGACAGACTGCAGTAACTCCTCTTTTAAAAGTCGCATCAGACAGACCCAATACCTGGAACTCAGTTCCACTTCCTTGGAAGGATACAGCTGGCCCTGCTGGATCTAAACCTATAGTCCAAGGTCAGGGAAGGCCGATGTTTAGCTCATTCCCTCTGGATCAGTCCCTAAATGACTCCTCTAGCTATAAACATGTGGCTACATTCCATTCCTAGGGGCCTAACCTGATTGAGAAGAGTCTGGCTTCAGCTCTGGTTAATGAAGAGATCAACAGCTCTGATCATAGAATTGTAGAATCATAGACTATCAGGGTTGGAAGGGACCTCAGGAGGTCATCTAGTCCAACCCCCTGCTCAAAGCAGGACCAATTCCCAACTAAATCATCCCAGCCAGGGCTTTGTCAAGCCTGACCTTAAAAATCTCTAAGGAAGGACACCAGCAGGTAAATGTTGCATCCTATTGGAATCTAGAGTTACATGGAGTCTGGGGTAGCTGGGTAATTGGGAAACCCTTGTGGGGTGTTAAGGGTGATAACACAACCTTACTAAAGAAACCACCGCTGATCAGAGTTCTGCCCTATGCTGTCGCCTCCTGAGCTTTGTCCTTGAATGGCCAGACTGAGTCCGAGATAGGGGTCTTGTGTTTATTACTTGGGCATATATATTACATTATAGAGCCTCTGGGAATACGCTGGCTTCAGCTTTTCCAGTTTTTTATCACATTCCCGGCATAATGCAGCCAGTCCCGTCTACAGCAGCTCGGGGCATACCACAGACACACTCAGTTCCCTGCAAAAACCAGTCCCTGCCTTCTCAAGGTATCCCATGAGCCACACAGCTGCCCCAGAGGAAAGTCTATTGCTGCTCCTTCTACTGAAGTGATCCTTCATAGGGTTGGCAAAACACCTTTGGATCCTGAAGAATGAATGGAGTTGCAGAAATGTCAGATGATTATTACCTTGCGTTCCTAGGAGGCAAAATCCAACAGTCCTTTCTCAGACAAAATGTCTAGTGACTTTATATGAGAGTTTTGCCTGAGACTGAGTGAAAATATCAGGATTTGACCTGTGACTTTGATCCTGTGGATCCAACAGTACATTATGGATGAAGGCCAAGATTTTCAAAAATGTAGGTGCTTCCATTTTGGGGGTCTCCAGTGGGAGACATGCTGGGCTTGGTTTTACGAATTGCAGAGCACACAGAACTTCAGCTGGAGTCAGTGGAGCTGCTGGTGTTCAGCATCTCTGAAAATTGTCTCAGGTTGGGCTTCCAAAAATTTGGAATGGCCACTTTTGAAAAGTTGGCTGCATGCCTATGTCTGTTTTATGGATTACAGAGAGAACAGGATGGCTCCAATAAGCAGCAACCTGTTTTAAGCCATCTCTTTCAAATACCCCCAAATTCACCCATGCTGTATTCTCCACCTTGAATGTACCTCTCCTTGACAAGACATTTATGTTGGTGTCTTGGGTGGCTGATTAATACAGAGCATTGTTGTGAATAGTAACCATTCTTCAGCTGCTGAAATGCAGCTGCTTCTGGGGTGAACCACAGCAGCAATTGTGCACCCATGACACTAAGTAAGAGAGAAAGTAAAGGAGAGCTTCTCCCATTGAAAGGGAGATGTGCTTTGTTAGGTGGGTACCACCCATAGTTCTTTGTGCTACAAGAATTAGTATTATTCTTTCCCAGTGAATCGTGGAAGAACTTGTCTGTCTTTTGAGGTACATGGGGAGAACTGTGGGAAGGCATTGGAGGGCTATCAGCACTCGAATGATTTAGCCTGTGTCTTCCCTGCAAAGTGGCCAGGTTCCAGCCTGAGTGAAAGCAGAGACACCTGAGGTCAGCCCCCAGCCAGGCCAGCTAGCCTGGTTTGAAGCACCACCAAATTTAGAGAGAGGGTTGTGTGTGTAGACAAGAGAGGGGCAGGGGCTAAAGGCAGGATGTGAGTTAAATTTTCAGTGAAGACAGGCCCCAACTGGCCAGGGCTCAGCTGGGCGGTCATCCGAAAGTTCTAAGATCGACCTGTCCAACTACACATCCTTGCATTTGAGGCCCCCAAAGCAGTGATGGTGCCTGGCTAGCAATAAGCCATTTGCACTGAAAGAGCTCACGTTGGGACAGGCTCTTGGCAGAATCAGCTCAAACCTTAAGAGGTTCAGCTTGGACAAAACCCCCTCCCCCAAATTCAGCAGCTTTGTCTCCCAGCGTGACCCAGAGCTCGAGGGCAAGGAAAGTTCACAAGATGGTCAGGGTTTCCTGGCTTTGGCTGAGCTCCGACTGCCATGAGAACCAGAGATCGTGATGTGACAGTAATCAGTGGTCTCACCCCCTGTATATGTCTACAATGAAGGCTCTCTCCAGGCCTCAGTGATGCACCTGCACTGAATATTGACTCTGTGCTCTGTACAGTCACTTTTCTGACCATAACCACATTTAAAGGGCGTTGTGAACGATCAAAGGTTCATCCTCCTGCCACAAAGGCTGACTTCATCAGAGAGAAAAATGCTGCACACAAACCACCGCGCAATGCACGGAAAGATTTCTTCGCTCTCCAGAGCAGGGGAATTGCAATCAAATGTTTTCCTTTCTCTTTCTCTGCGGTATTAGGGATCACT